TGTTTGTCCCATCTTCTGACTCAATCTCGACAACTCCACTTGCGAACATTTGCACCACTCTAAATGGTCCTGACCATCGGGACTTTGACTTACCCGGAAACAATCTCAGCCTTGAATTATACAATAATACCTTATCACCGGGTTTGAAATTTCTGTCCACAATGTGCTTATCATGCATCTTTTTCATTCTTTCCTTGTAGAGCCTCATGCTTTCAAAGGCTTGATATCTAAATTCTTCCAGCTCATACAACTCTGTCAGTCGATTTTGTCCAGCTGCTTCGGGATCCATGTTCAATTGTTTCAGTGCCCACCAAGCTCGATGTTCTAGCTCCACCGGCAGATGACAGGCCTTCCCAAATACCAACATATATGGTGACATACCTATTAGTGTTTTGAACGCAGTTCTATAGGCCTAGAATGCATCATCAAGCTTCTTTGCCCAATCAGTTCGTGTGGCATTCACCGCCTTGGTTAGTACACTTTTTATCTCCCTGTTGGACACTTCAACCTGCCCACTGGTTTGTGTATGGTAAGGGGTAGCCACCTTGTCGCGTACATCATACTTTGCAAGCAATTTCTCGAAGGCTCTGTTACAGAAGTGAGTGCCTCCATCACTGATGATCGCTCTTGGTATCCCAAATCGGGTGAATATATTCTTTTTCACAAAACCTATCACCACTTTTGCATCATTAGTGGGCAACGCTGCAGCTTCCACCCATTTAGACATGTAATCCACAGCAACATGTATTTATTGCCAAATGAGCTGACGAAGGGGCCCATGAAGTCAATCCCCCAAACATCAAACACCTCTACCTCTTGAATCGGATTCATGGGCATCTCGTGGCGACAGGAAATGTTCCCGGTTCGCTGACATTCGTCGCAGCCTATAACCCATAGGTGTGCATCTCTAAACACTGTTGGCCAAAAGAACCCGGCCTCTAGCACTTTCGCAGTTGTCCTGGCTCCTCCAAAATGTCCTCCATTTACTGATGCGTGACAAGCCTGCAAAACAGAAGATTGTTCTATCTCGGGGACACACCTCCGGATCATATTATCAACACAAATTCTAAACAAATAAGGCTCGTACCAATAATACATGCGGCAATCACGATAAAACTTTTTCTTTTGGACAGATGAAAGGTCATAGGGAACAATACCGCAGGCTAGGAAGTTTGCAAAATCTGCATACCATGGCACTTCCTCAAGACTGGCTGCGAGCAGCTACTCATCTGGAAAGGTTTCCAGGATCTCTTTGACCTTGACTGATTTTTCAACTCCTTCAAGTCGCGATAGATGATCAGCGACTTGATTTTCTGTGCCCTTATGGTCATAAATTTCGAGGTCGAATTCTTGCAACAGTAGCACCCAACGAATCAGGCGCGTCTTAGACTCCTTTTTTTCAATTAGGTACTTGAGTGTTGCATGGTCAGTGTATACAATTACCTTGGAACCAATCAGATATGATCGGAACTTGTCAAACGCAAACACCACCGCTAACATCTCCTTCTCCGTCATTGTGTAATTGAGTTGTGCACCGCTTAGCGTTCTGCTTGCGTAGTAAATCGGGTGCATCAACTTATCTTTTTGCTGCCCCAAGACTGCTCCTATAGCATAGTCGTTGGCATCACACATGAGCTCAAATGGTTGCTCCCAATTGGGGTGCAACAATGATGGGTGCAATGATCAATCTCTTCTTCAGTTCCTCAAATGCCAACCTGCAATCATTAGAAAACACAAAGGGCTGATCCTTTTCAAGGAGTTTGCATAATAGGTTAGTAATTTTGGAAAAATCTTTTATGAAACGCCGGTAGAATCCAGCGTGTCCAAGAAAACTTCTCACCGCCTTGACTGAAGTGGGCGTTGGTAACTTCTCAATCACGTCAACCTTAGCATGATCGACCTCAATTCCTTTACTGGACACTCGATGCCCCAGGACTATACCTTCTTGTACCATAAAATGGCTCTCCCAGTTTAGCACTAAGTTTGTCTCCACACATCTTTTAAGCACTCTCCTTAAGTTGTGAAGACAATCTTCGAATGAATCTCCCACCACGGAGAAATCATCCATAAAGACCTCCATAATATCCTCCACCATGTCTGTGAAGATGGCTATTATGCACCGTTGAAAAGTCACGGGTGCATTGCAAAGCCCAAAGGCATTCTCCGAAAGGCAAAGATGCCATACAGACAGGTGAAGGACGTTTTCTCTCTATCTTCGGGGGATATTGATATCTGATTGTACCCCGAATATCCATCCAAGAAACAGAAGTGCGATCTCCCAGCCAGCCTGTCCAACATTTGGTCAATGAAAGGTAGGGGGAAATGGTCCTTCCGGGTGGTTGTGTTCAATTTCCTGTAATCCATGCAGATACGCCACCATGTGACTATACGAGTTGAGATCAACTCGTTGTTCTCATTTTTTACAACAGTCATTCCCCCTTTTTTCGGCACACATTGGACAGGGCTGACCCAATTACTATCAGAGACGGGGAAGATGATTCCCGCATCTAACCATTTGATTACTTCTTTCTTTACAACCTCTTTCATGTTTGGGTTCAGCCTTCACTGGTGTTCCCTGGAAGGTTTGTGCCCTTCTTCTAGAAGAATCTTATGCATACAGAAGGCTGGGTTGATACCCTTTATGTCTGCCATGGTCCAGCCTATGGCAGTCTTGTTTTCCTGCAGTACTTGTACGAGTCGTTCTACCTGCACATCTAACAAACCGGATGATATGATAACAGGCAAAGTCGAATCAGGGCCTAAGAACACATGCCTGAGGTGATCTGGGAGTGGCTTCAGTTCCAACTTGGGTGGTTCCTCTATTGATGGCTTTGCTGGAAGAGTGACCCTTTTTCTAGCTCAAGGGACTCGAACTGAGGTTCCCTTGACCAAAATCATTGGTCTTCCAGTGCCATGACCCATTCAGCTAACCCTTCACCATTCATTTCTTCTAAATTCGTCAGACATGTCTCCAATGGATCTTTTACAGTTAGGGTCATATCATCTTCTTGCAGGATTACACCCACTGCTTCCACTAGAGAGCAATTAGCATATTCACTAGGTCTCCTCATAGATTGCTGAACATTGAATATGACTTCCTCATCGTTCAATCTCATTTTTAATTCCCCAGTTTCACAGTCGATCAGTGCTTTCCCTGTGGCTAAAAATGGTCTCCCTAAAATAAGGGGTATCTCCTCATCCACCTGACAATCCAAGATAACAAAGTCTGTAGGGAACACGAATTTCCCCACTTGTACCAACACATCATCAAGAATACCAGTGGGCCTCTTCACTGTGCGGACAGCTAGCTGTAGTAGCATCGAAGTTGGCCTAGCTTTACAAATGCCCAGTTTGGTGTACACAGCTAGCGGCATCAGATTTATGTTGGCTCCCAAATCATACAATGCCTTTGCAAAGGAATAACTTCCAATTGTGCATGCAATAGTAAAGCTACCTGGGTCCGACATCTTTTGAGCCATCGGTTTTACCACCACTGCGCTGCAGGTCTGTGTCAAAGTTACAGTGGATAGATCCTGAAAATCAAACTTCCGTGACATTAGATCTTTCATCATCTTAGCGTAACCGGGCATCTCCCTCAAGACATCCATCAAAGGAATATTCAACTGAATTTGACGCAGCATCTCCATGAACTTTTTATATTGGTCTACCTTCTTTTGTTCGACCAGTCTCTGAGGGAAGGGTGCAAGTATCACCCTTTGTGCATTGCTTGCTGGCTTCTCTCTGTTAGAATTTTCTGGCACAAGAGGTGCCACCTGTTCTGCAACTTGCTCATTCATCTTTTCTTTGCCTTTTTCCTCCTGACTCTGCTCAACCACCACTTCAGTAAGTTCTGTTGGTTCCTCTACCTCTAATTGAACTGGAGTGGCTGGTGTAGTGTCCTTGCTGGCTTGTGCAATTTTCTACTCTGTGTCTAAATCTCTCCCATTCCGGAGACTTACTGCCATCAGCTGATTCGGGTTTTGGTCCTTGGGGTTTATGTTTGTGTCTGCAGGCAAAGTTCCCTGAGGACGGTTGTTCAAAGCCATGGACAGCTGACCCAGCTGCGTTTCAATATTCTTTATGGCTGAATCATGCACTGCCAATTTTTCCTACACTTTATTATTTGTCCCAATGAGTTGCTGAAGCATACCCCTGATTTCCACCATGTTGTTATCTTGCTGCTGAGGGGGTGGTTGGTATGTCAATTGTTGCTGATTTTGCTGTGGATAGCCCTGTGGTTTCTGATATGGTACTGGCACCAATTGGTTTTGAGGGTGCATACCCCCAGGCTGCTGCATATTAGGCATGTACTGCTGATTTTGCTGCGGTCTCCACTGATGTGCTCCTTGCCTCTGACCCCCATAGTTGTTGACATAATTCATATCTTCCCTTTCCCCTTGATTTTCGCCTTCTCTGCTCCATGAACACACATAAGACTGATTAATACAAGGTGTACACAGTCCCCCATTTGTTGTATCAACAATGTGCACCTGTTTTGTACCCATCTCATCAATTTTCTTTGTCAATATGCTCATCTACGTCATGAGTGTGTCCATGTTCTCTGCATGCAAATTATTTGGGTCAAGAGGAACTGAATGCACTATGGGTGCCATTGTTGTACCTCTAGTCATCTACCCTAAATTTTGTGACATCTTATCGAGAAGGATTTTGCACTCAGTGAATGTTTTACTTAAAAATGCACCTTCAGCTGACGCATCCACATTTGCTTTCTAATTGTCAGCTAGCCCCATGTAGAATCTCTGGCCGAGCATCTGGTTTGAAATGCCATGGTGAGGACACTTCACTAACATCCCTTTAAATCTTTCCCAAGTTTCTTGCAAGGACTTAGAGGGTTGCTGCCTATACTGCAATATGTCATCAATCTGTTTTGCAGTCTTGTTAGGCGGATAGAACTTGTTCAGGAACTGCTTGACTAATTCCTCCCAGGTTCTAATAGAGTTGATTGGGAGCGAATTTAGCCAAGTCTGAGCTTCCCCGGTTACCAAGAATGGAAACAGTAGCAGCTTGATAGCTTCCGGAGTTGCATTTGGCTGCCTTTGGGTCATACAAATTGACAGAAAATTCTTCAAGTGTTGTTGCGGGTCTTCAATGTGTGACCCGGAGAACAGTCCTTTATTTTGCCGTAGATGCAGCATGTTGTTGGTGATCTGGAATGTCTCCGCTTGAATTGTGGGCACAGCTATGGCAGTGGCCAGATTATCAGCTGTGGGCCAGTCATAAAGTGCAGCTTCAGGCACAAGAGGTGCCACCCTTCTGACATTTAAGTCGGCTGGCTCATTCCTGACGTTTCCGTTGACGTTATCTACGTCACCCATGTCAAATTCGAGTTGGTGTGATTGTTGAGATTGTTGAAGTCTTTTGTTGGCACGGTTCAATGCCCTGAATGTTTTCTCGGGGTCTGAGAGTCCTTCTAACAATTCTCCAATCCTCGAAGAACTTCTAGGCATACACCTGCTTTCCACAAGAGTTCAAACGTTAGAATTTCAATGAAAAGATTGGGTATAGAGAAAACTGACTACACTTAGAATTTTTGTAATTCTATCAATTGTAATTGATAACACCATTAATTCCCCGGCAACGGCGCCAAAATTTGATACGCCAAACTATGCCTTATACAAAGACACACACGAACGTAACAAATATAATCTGAGTAATTCTGCCCAAAGTCGAACCACAGAGAATTAACCTATCAATTACTTTTGACTGATTTACTAAATTCACAGAATCAATTTTTCCCAAACTTTGTAATTCACAATTGATGATATTTCTAACAACTAAAGTCTGAAAATAATTAACAGCTGAAAATTAACTATGTTGATGNGACTATGTTGATGTGTAAACAGTTGGAATAAGGTCTAAGGTAATGGTTTCCCCCGTTGGTGATTTCCTCGGTTGTACGTTTCTTATATCGATGCCTTGGTTGTCTCTATCAATCAAGAACTCTCCGGTTATCATAAATCTCTCTCAAGCAATTATGATAATTTACTAAACGCACTCTCTCAAGCTACGCTAGCTAGATTCACATTACCGTTCTTTTAGATTGCATCCGAGGTATCGTTATCTATAATCTAATATCTAAACCCTCGTTTATGACTCTCGTCTATACTCCGGGAGTGATGTTGTTCAAACAATTACCTAAATATGCACTCTCTCTCAAGAAGAT